TGTTGTCGTCTGAGTCCAAATTTCTCAATTTGTGTCTGAGTCAGCGCACTCAGAAAAAGTATTCGTATTAAATAACCAATTTATTATTATGATTAGCGCACCAAATTATATTTGAAAACAATTATAACTATACAATTTAAGAGAATATCGGTTAAGAGTTTTGAATATCTCTATTATGACACTTTTAATTTATAAATAAAGGAAATATAAAATATATTGTTGTTGTTGTTTATTTTAACTATGTATACAATATTTCATAATTTATGTTAATTTTTAGTCATATTGTTTAAAAAAAAAGAGTAGGAATTTGAGCCCGTCTTTTCTTGAGTGTGGCGAAGAAGCAACCCTTGCAGTTCAGGGGAATTTCGAGGTCGATGCTGCCGGTGCGGCTGCCTCGATTCTTTTTTAACCGGAACGCACACTTCAACCCCTCCGAAACCCGCACCCGTGCCTGTTGTCCTGCCCCGAATGTCCTGCCTGTCAACTCCTTTTGTCATCGCCATCATTTGCGGCCGCTTGACACTTGCAGATTAGTAAAGTGTTGAGTGCGGAATACTTTTCCTGCTAATTGTCGGCGGACAATTAGTCGTGCTCCAAATCGATTGCAGGCTGCAGGACTCGCAGGACATGGGCATTGCAATGATTTGCATTCTTTATTGTCTGAACATCTGACCCGAGTTCAAGGCAGTCTTTCACAATTTTTTCCGAGTTTTTGAATTAACTTCTCAGCTTGATTCATGACTTTTGGTAATTTTAATCTGTCTTTCCGGTGTTGCACTTTTTTGTGGGCGTTTTGCTTACCCTTTTTCTGGTTAAGGACTTTTCTTTGATTCAAATATTTTCAACTGATTAGAGACTGTTCTAAAGGGGCAAACAAATAACCTTGCCAGTTGGAAATATTTTAAAAGAGCACGTTAATGTCGCGTTCATGACTTTATAGACATTAATATTTATTAATAAATCATTTTAATTTAAAATTATACCTATTATTGCCAGTATTTAACGAAATGCAGTAAGCTTATTTAGAAAATTTACGTTGTTATTTTATGTAAGGGACTGATACTTATTTGGGTCAAACAGCCTACATCGGGGCAATACTAATAAAAATCTAAATTAAAAAAAAAGTTGTAACCTTTGATAAAGTCTTAATCTAATAAACATTTTTTGAAGGTATATTTAAGATTTTTCACGGTACAAAGTGTTGCATACTCTTAGGCATTTTTATTGCCAGTGTTGCCACAATTACTGAATTCACATAAAGGCCGTGTAGATAAATGTAAAACTAAGAAATGTAAAATGTAAGAAAATATATATTAAAACATTTTGAAATGAATATTATCCATATATAGTCATTTTATAGAACATAACATTTTTGATATAGCTTTTTTACTTGTTTAAATTTCCAAGCTTATATAAAAATTTTTTATCAAAATGGAAAACACTTAAAATGTCATATTTCCTTTCAAATATAAGTTGATTACGGGTCCTTAAAGATTCCTTTTTAAATTGTACAAACTTTGCGTAATGTGTATTTTTAGTATCGCTATATATATTAAACTGAAACACTATTTATTACTTCTTATTACTTATTCCTTCCGCTCGTTGCAACATTGTTTCATGTTTTATCACCACAGCGTCCTCTCTAAAAATAATCCCCCCAATATGCATAAATTAGGCGTTTCGGTCTACAGTGTCCGGGGCTGTGTACACGCTAATTATAATGACAAATCGGTCAATTATAATGCCATGTCATAAATTTCCGAACCGCGATCGATCAACCCCGCGACTGGACTCCGAATATTGAATAAAATGGATCGTAAATTGCGAAAACATGCATGTTCACTGTTCACTGGCTCACCTGCATTTTGCATGGGGGCGACTTCATTAAGGAGCAATCTTCTCGTTCCCGAGCTCGAAATAATTACCAGGACTCGTTGAGCTAGACAAAAGTGCAGATTCTTGTAAGCCAGATCAATGGGGGAGCAATTTGCCAGCCGCTCAAGGCAAAAGTAAGAGGAAGCTGGACATACCAAGTGGATGCGGATGCATTTCGGGGGCTTTAATGAAGCCAATGGACAGCCTCGTCGAAAGCTGTCAGAATGCCCATTTCAGCGCCACGCCCTCCGCATTAAAAAGCCACTAACCAGGACATGGGGGCGGGGGCGTGGCAGCGTTCAACCTGTCATAAAGATCGGCGGTCATGTAGTTTTCAAATTTATCGTCGACACGCAATTCTACGCCCCCGAAGGCGAGAACTACACACCAAAAAATTATATAAAGATAAAAAGTATTTTTTTACATTTACAATATGTTGAATACAGGAAATACAAGTTTATCTGGTTTTCAATTAGGATACATTTTTATAATAATTAATTTGACTTGAATTGATATTTTGAATATATCTACATAGTTAATAATAGTTAATTTGAAGAACTTAAGTCAATCTAAAAAATGTAAAATATTATGTAAAATATTATATTTTATAAAGTTCTAAAATAAATTTAAATTTAATAAACGATTATGTGAACATCAGCAGAACACGTTGAGAGACTTATGTCTTCAACGTTTATCCGGTTGTTTCAACCTAAAAATAATCCGTTTTTTCCGTGCAGCGATGGAATGGCAACGTGTTTGCTTGGTATTCATCATGCTTTATTTCAGTTAAGTTCTTTCACTCCAGCAAAAGGCGAAGAGAACTGTTTCGCCTCGTAATTGCCGCACTTAAGCGGAGCGGTTCGCAACGGTATAACCAGTTCCTGGCCCAACTCCATCTCCATCTCGAAAGGCTGCTCCTCCTCTCGGAAGATGTCCATCTGGCAGCTGACCGCAGAAAGGGCACGGCTGAGTCCCCATCTATGTGTGTGACTCCAAACCCATCCCATCCCATCACATCCCCATCCCCAGCACTTATTGTCTCTGCCTCTCTGGCATTTCGCAAATCTGCAAGCTGCCCAGGCACATTCTCTTTTTCCATACCCTTGAATAGGGGTATTGTAATTATCTCAAGATTTAATATTCAGTAAAGAACTTAAGACTAACCTATAGTGACTCTTAATTTAAATGTTATATTAATATTTATTTTCTAAGATTAACCTTAACTTGTTAACCAGTTTGTCGAAATATTTAACATGATTAATTTCATGATTTTATTTTTATTTTTCATTAATGACAAAAAAATCTATTACTTTTCCCCCAAGAAATACATTGAAGTAAAATTGTGTTTTATCCTAAGGAAAATACCATCTATAAACACCGAAATTTCCTTTTTGTTATAAACTAAAAGTTGTTTTATTTTAATGAGATTTTCGTTATATTTAAATATTTTTTCATGAGAAAACTGATTTTGAAGTGTAATCTAAGTGTCGGTGCCGGATGCTCTCATTCCCTCCGTGATTTTTATGGTCATGTGCTGTATTTCTTCACGCAGATCGCGACGCCGATGCAGCCGGGTCAGAATCCCAGTCCCCCCGACTCGAACTTGGGCTGATTGCCGGTTTGCGATAAGACAGCATACCAAAGCCTGAACTCCGATTGTCTTACATATCTAAAAATAGCCGGGGACTTGGTGTGGGCCTGAAACTGAATCTGAATCTGAAACTGCAACCTGGCACTGGCGCATGCAATCATTAGTGGAAATTTTACCGGCCACTCTCCAGTCGGTCGGTCCAATATGGCCAGTCCCCGAGGGGCAATAAAACCAGCCAAATGACGACACGCAGACGCCGAAGAAGCTGCTTCTTTCGAGGAGGAGGCATCCCAGTGGAAAGAAGGCGACCGCGAGCAAGGTCGTTCAGCGACCTTCGCATCCAATTGCCGATCCACTCGGTTTCCCGTTGAGTGCCGCATTTATGGTCTTGATTTCTTGGGGCAGATCAGTAAACAACCGCTGGACATTTATGGAAATGCTGCTCTTAATTGGCCAAATGTGGCTCTATAAAGGCCCTAAACTGCCGCCTTGACTTTGTCGCAGGTTCCTTGGCCCCGATTGTCTCAGAGCTCCGATTCCAGTTCCCCTGGTCCTCACAGCTTCCGCGTTTCACTCGGAAGAGTGATAGCCCAGCAGGTTTAAGCTGCCTGGGCACTATCTTTATCCCAACACAGAAGAGCTCTTGTCACTGCTTATCTTTTTGATCCTTGCACTGGGGAAAAGAAGGAACAACATCGAATTAAATCTTAGTAACTTAAAAAAGTTAATCCTGTCTTTCTGTACTCATAACCTCTCCCAAAGAAAATTGGTTTTGAAGTGGGATAACTTTAAAGGTTTGTGATTCTATTTTTCTGCCCTAACATATTTTCATATTTTGATCTTATTTCATTTAAAATAATCGAAAATAACTGAAAATGGCATAGTCATTAGCTTATGAATTACATTAGGTTTTTCATTCTATTCTCTAACAAAATTTAGTTGAGCAATAATGTGCAGATAATGACCCAATTGATTGAGTCAGCGAGTATGTGGTCCAACTATTTGTTTTATTGCAAGGTACATATATTACTATAAAACTGTATTTTAAGTCTAAGCCATCTAAAACCATCGCCTTATCTAAATACCATAATAGAAGAGACCAGTAAAGACTTATTATACTTTATTCAATATCTAAACAAATACCTTTTCCAATTTTATATATTCTTATTTAAATAAATCGCCAAAACATATCAACATTTTCGATCATTAATCCACCCCGCATATTTCTCAGTGTGAATAGCATAGCAATCAACCCTCTGAACAGCGATTCCTTGGCGTCAGCTGTCCTGCTGCTGCTTTGTCACTTGTTCATATCAATTAAATTTTAATGATATTGTCCAGAAAAACGACTATCCTCCGGTGCGCTGCAGGCCGCAAGTTTTTAATCAATTTTAAGTGGCTATTTACTTTGCGAATCGGAGGAGCAGAGCCCCCAGGTCAACCTGTTTCCCGATCACATCCGTTCCCCGCCCGCTGCGAGATTAATGATAAATGCACAACTTCGATTTAGTCTTGGTGTAATTTAGTTTATTTCACTACGCAAGTCACTTAGGCTCTAATTAGGATAGTTTTTGCTCGATCTTAATGCTGGTTAGGTTAGGTGCTCGGCTTCATCGGATTTCCCGCATCGGATTTTATGGCAAGTTTGCTAGGTCTGTGGAATTTCGAGTGCTGAATGGTCGGCTGAATAAATTAAGCTCGAAATAGAGTTACGGCTACAGTTACAATTACAATACCAACAACTACAATAAATTAATTAAAACATTAACTAAACATTAAAACAAAATTCGTTTACTGACTAATCACACACACACACACACAGAGGCCAAGAGTGTGTGTCCTGATCTCGTGGGAACTCAACTAGTGGCTACATACTAGGGTAGTACATCTAATTAGGTTTATCTATCTAGGTTTAGGTTATCTAGGCTAACTACAATACGACTTGGATCACATGTGAGTGCCTTTGCAGCTGTCTCTTCAGTGGGGAAGTGCGGGGTGCTGTTGGACACTCGGAAAAACCATCGATCTGAACTTGAGAAACTCCTTAAATTATGGGAAATTTATAAGATTTTACATTTACTTTACAATAGTTTTATGATTAGTTTTCGCATTTAAATATACTCCAATAATTTTCTAAAATTAAATTGTTTTAAATATTATTACATTATTAAATCCACTATCCCGCTGCCTTTAGTCTTTGTTTTATAAATCACAAGATCTTTTATTTTTAAAGATCAACGATTTACGAATGAGTTCTAAATTAATTGATACCCAAATTAAATTGAGAATATTCTTCAATTTTTAAATTCAAATTGATAAAAAATAAATTTCTATCAGTTAGGTTCAACAAAATTTGGAATATTCATAATTCTACTTTCCCTAAATTCGGAATAATTTTATATTTTTAATTTAAAACTTTTTATTGTAGTTCCAAAAGTCTAATAAAATGTCCCTGTATTTTCCAATGAATTTTCTGTGTACTGGCGATTTTGGCAACTTCAGTTCGAGTGTTTTCCCGAGTGGAAGATGACCATTTGGCCCCTACTTGAGCTTGAGAAACGTGAGCAACGCCTTCTGTATCAGACTGCGATTGATGGTGGAGTCGGCGGTGTAACGCACTCCCCACAAGTTTCCATCGTTGTGGTCCACCACTCCGTACTCGCCGACGATGAAGCCGTCGTCGGTCTTCTCCTCCACCCGGTACTTTCGGTAGTTGCGTCCCTCGACCACGTAGGCGACTTTGTCTTCGTCATCGGGGGTTTCGGGGCCCTCCGATCCCGAGTCGCCCGCATCCCCCGTCGAATCCCCATCGTCGTCCGAATAATCGTTGGCATTTGCATTGTAAACCACCGAGCCACGTCCTCTGTTGATGCCACGACTGCTGGCGGTGGTGCTCGATTGTAGTGGACTGGCTGGCGTTGTGGCCTGCCCCACTGCACCACCACCACCAGCAGCACTCCCTGCACCACCTGCACCGCCCTGCAATCCGTGGGCCCGTCCGTTTGTCATAACACTAACGGACTCTTCAATTTCGTAATTCTGCTCTGAGGTTGGAGTATAGAGCTCGGGGTGCTCTGTGGTAAAGTGTTGCATTTGCTGATGCTGCAGATGCTGCGGGGCTGTTGCTGTTTTGCGGCCGATGAAGTTGAGGACGAGGATGACGAGCTGGAGGAGCTGGAGCTGTACGAATAGCCACCGCCTGACCCCGAAGATGATGGCGGTGATGGGTCCGCCACAGATGCCGCTGCCGCTCCATGTTGGTGTGCAAATTTGGAAACACACTTGACTAGATCTGCAACGGGGAGATGTAACAAAAGATGATGTTTGATAAGTTCAAGATTAGTTGGCCGGGGTTCAAGTGGTTAAACCCGTGCGTTGTCGCTGTCTGTCATAAGTACACTGGGCAAAACTACACTTGGGAACATCTAAAGATGTTGAAAGAATTGAAAGTGTCAACTATTACAAAAATATTAAAATGATTTTACTTGATCATAGCTGGCAACAAACATTTAAAAATGAATAATATAAAGCCAGAAAAAGCTATTTTATTTACATTTCAAAAACTTGTACTATTTTAAACATTTGCGTATTTGAAGAAGGTAAATAATAATAATACACGTTCAGCTCCCTTAATTTTCCAGACTTCGTTTACTTTAGCATTTTCCTTAGCATTATCTTCCATCAATAAATTATACACTATTAAAATTGATAGGTTCAGAAAATTGATCGATATAAGAACCCTAATTTATCCAGACTTTGTTTACTTTGATTATTCAAAACGCTCTTCCTTAAGTGAAACATAATCTTCCATCCAAGCAGGTCGTAATAAATGATATACGATTTAACTTGATGGGCTCAGAAAATTGATCTCTTTAATTTATGCAATTGCAACACTCGCCCTGCTGCACAGTGTAATTTGTTTAACCAGATTCAGATACAAAACTCCGACTTGGACTCACCTCTATTGGGCAATCCTTTGGCATTTTGATTAGAATGTTGATGCGGCGGTGATGAATGCTGACGTTGTTGCTCCCAGCACGGACGCTGATGTTGCTGTTGCTGTTCGTGTTGCTGCTGCTGCTGTTGCTGTTGCTGGTGGTAGTTGCTCGGACTTGAGTGCTTCGATAAAATTGGCTCCAATGGATGCGGTTGCGGCTGTGGTGCATTCAATAAATCATAAGGCAATTTATCCAAATTGAAGAGTACTCTGCGCGTTGGATGAGCTGGTTGTTGATGTTGCTGCTGCTGGTGGTGGTTGTAGCTGTGATAATGATGCTGCCAAGTGGTTGGCCGAATGCCTCCAGAGGTACTAGTGCTGGGAGGCTTCACTGTGGTGACCCTGCTGGCCAATGTTGCTGTCGTACTGCTTGATGTTGCTGCCGGGCTGCTTGGTGTTGCTGCTGTCGTGGTGCTTGTGCTCTGAGCCTCGCCAAAAGCGATGCGCGAGACAATCGCAGGTCGTGGTCGGGATCTAATTGGCACAAAAGTGGTGGGTGTCAGTGGCTTCTCAGTGGTGCTGGTGGTGGTTGAAGCTGGAGAAGAAGTGGTGCCTCCTAGTGGTGTTGCTGCCGTCGTAGTCAACGTTTGCGGCCAATAGGTTTTAGCCGGCTCTCCATAAACCTTCGAGGGTTGCGAGTACACTTTAGCCGGCTCCGAGTAAAACTTGGAGGGTTGTCCATAGACTTTGGAGGGTTCTGAGTAAACCTTTTCCGGCTGACCATACATCTTGGCTGGTTCCGAGTAAACCTTAGCTGGTTCTGAGTAGAACTTACTAGGCACACTGTACATTTTTGATGGTACTGAGTAAAACTTGGCTGGTTCCGATGAGTGACCATGTTTCAAGCTCTCGCTCACATTTCTCTGGGCCTCTGCTAGAATACCACTTCTCGATTGCTGCCAGGCCTGCAAGTCATCCACATTTTGAGAGATGGAGCTATAGGATATTGACCTGGACTGAGGTCCTCTTCCCTGTTTGGTGTCATGATAAATCACTGTTTGAAAGGGTAAGCCTGCTCCTGAGCCAGTTCCCGTCCCCGATTCCTCTTCACCAACATCCGTTTGGTTTTTCAAGAAGGAATGTGTGGAGGAAGCTGCCAGTAAAGGAGCCGCCAGTACACTTTGTATATTGGAGGCACTGTTCAGGGAATCTCCATCGCTATCAATTAAATCCCCTGCCAATCTGGGTTCCGTTTCCTCGATGGAAAGTTCACTTTTATGAGAGCGGTTCACGAAATCTGACCCACTTCCTGTGGTACTAGGAGAACTGCTCTTCGAAGGACCTCTTTTGCTGGAGGAACTCACACTTACGGCCACCACTTTCACCTCGTCGCTCGACTTTCCCTTGACTGTATTGGGGGCATCTTCGAGGAACACTATCTTACTGCCGGAGGTCACCAGTTTGACCACCTGTTTGGAGTCGGATTGCTCCTCATCCTGAGAGTTTCCGGAACTCAGGGAATTTCTATAGCGATTCCTGCCAACATCCAAACTTCTGCCGGTGGCTGATCTCTGGCGGGGATTTGGGGATGAGGATGGGGACTCCGCTCTGCCCTCGAAATCCTGTTCGCTGCTGTGGAGACTTCGCTGCTGGTCATCATGGTCGAGGAACAGCTTGAGGAACTCGTTGCCCGCGATGAGCTCACTCTGCCGGCCGCCCGGAAAAGGGGCGGGGCGTGTCCGACAGCCGGACAACATCTGAAATTGTAAGAGGTAAAGGAGTGTTAGTTATGCTCGACATTTCCCTTGATTCAGGTTTTATTCAAATGCCGACGAGGGTGAGAGCATCGACACTTGGAAATAAAATCACCATTAAAATAGAAAATGAAAAGTAGAATTTAATAAATCTAAAGATTTTTGTAGTGAAGTAGTAGTAGTAGAAGAGCCCATAAAACAAATTCAAATAAACTAGTATTAACTTTATTTTCTTTATTTCGACCTTTAAATACTGTGAAATTACCAAAAGTAATCCGAAATGGAATAGAAGGTATTCTAAACTATGATAAGGAACTTAAACCCTTAAATTAACTATAAGTAAAACTTATATTTCTGCGTCTTTTAAAATTGTAGGCAACTTTTAGCGGCCTAGAAAAGTAGATTTAAAGGAAATATAAAAATTTGTTCTAACTGCAAGCAACTGCAAACGGGGGTGATCGCATTTAGAGCTTATCTCAGCGATCTATTTATAAATTTGCGTAATTAAAATATCATTTGTATCGATCGGCAATCGACGATCCACATGAGCTGAGATATGTCTTCATGTCGCGGGCAAATATGCATAAGTCATGCAATGGACGAGGTCTGGACCTCGACTCGATGGCATTTGAATAATAAAGCGGCGAGTCTATTAAGACATCATAGGAATGCTGCGGTGCTCCGTTTGAAGTGGTGCATGTTGCCAGTGTCCCTAGTCAAGTGGCGAATGTGGCATAATTAACCGCGTTGCAAGTGATCAAGTGGGTGGCGTAAGGTAGCGAAAACACCAATCGAACAAACAGTTCGAGCCATGGATTATGGATTGCCCAATGGACGAGTGAAACCCGCTCCGCTGAAGTGGAAAATGGAAACATTACTAAAACGCTGCCGGTCAATCTGTCACTCTGCGTCAGCCAAGTATTTATGTTCCTGCCGATATGCATACATTCCACTGACTCATCTTGCAATTTATCAACCAGTTTCGGTTTAAGGAAGTCAATTTCCCAGCTCACCTAAAGGACAAGTTTTTATGGGTATCAGGTTGCATTTTGATTATGTCCTTTTCAATGAGTAATGTTAACTTTCCGCTGAATTAAATTTTGTCATGCATTCTCAGATCGTGTGTCATTATTACAACATTTTTTATCAACAAAACTTAAGTCAGCTTTGGTAGCGCAACTTCTAAAACTTAAAAAAAAACATTTTAGGTTTTAGGAAACTAGGTTAAAACTTGTTGAAAAGTAAAACAAAACACTTTTAAAAGTATAAGTAAAACTTAATTTTTATAAAGCGTTTTATTTTTCAAAAGGCTTCGATCCAATTTTGTCGAACCGAAAACTTTTGCTAGTTTTCTCTGTAAACCGTTTCTAAAGTATTAAATTGAGTAAGATAGGAAAATGAATCATCTTCGACAAGTGTTTAATATTGTAAAGTTTCGTACAACTTTATATAGTGATTTTTATATTAAAACATCTTGTATACAAACGTATTAAGAAAACGCAACGCTTTATTGCCTTTCAATGCATAAATAATGTAAATACAAATATACCATTAAGCTGTTTTATTGGCTTTGTAATCTTTATCCATATCTAACAGTATTCATAACACTCCAGTGCAAATTCATGGCCAGAGATCGGCCATAAATTGTTATCAACGCCACACACCCACCGCAGAAACAAAAGACTTAGGGCACGAACTTGCCCTGCCAAATGCCCCGCCGATCAAATCGAGCCAATAAAACATATTTATGGATATTTATCGATCGGCATTAACATTAGCATTGCTAATTGCGACGAGGCAGATCATTTACTAGCCAACACTTTTGATCCATTGACGCGAATTGGAAAGGCGCAAATTGAAAACAATGAAAAATGGCGAAAATTGAATCAAATATTAATGGAAACCGATCGCTGCGGCGAACATAATAGCATAATTATTCAAGCTGTTTTTATATACGTACAAAATGGCAAAGTGTGTTTATATCCCCCGAGCAAGAACAATAACAACATCCGGCAGTGCAGTGGGCGCCTGTCGCCGAGCATTTTTCTAGAGCAGATTTGAGCGATTGCACCCAGCGAACGAACACCTTCGCACATGTGCTAAAGTTACCTTACCCGACTGACTGACCAACCAGTTACTAGATTACTGGATCGGTTAGTCATCCGGCGGGCCGGGTCGCCTTGCCTTTTATGTCTAAAATTGCAGAAGTAACCGACCGCGGGCGTTGAATGGAAAAGCGACAGTTAGCATTGACACCAAATCAACGTGTGACAATTACAAAAGGGCCAAACGATTCAGTTTCGCCCTAAGACAAAGCAAAAAAACAGAAAAAACGTTCTAAAAATAACGAACGGAATTGAACAATGCGAATTCCTTTCCATTGTGGGGTTATTCAAAACGCCTGGTCAGTGACGTGCTCCAGTTTAATGAATGAATTGGGCAATGGGTTCCCTCACCCCAAACCCAGCCAAAGTGATAGGCAATTATTAATCTTGATTGATTTATCAGGTAGCTAATCCTGTTTCGACATTCTTTTGCACTTTGCGTAGTATCGGCGACGATTTATCATTCGATTGTGGCGATTGGCGACAATTTTCACGGCCTGTCAACTTAGCGGAAGTGTCAAAAAAAGGCAACTTTCAGAATATCACGTATCCGCCTTGTGTGCGCGTGAATAGCCAGCAAACAATTAAGCAATAATCACGCCTTAATGAGCACTCTCTTTATTGGGCTCATTTGGCCCACTCGATTGGCTTTCAAGTGCCGCTGATGCTGCCATTCGATACTGGCTATTGGATACTCGATGCCCGATGCTTTAATTAGCCACAATCATCGTGAATTCAGTTTTTACGCTTGACACTAAACAAACGCCATTGGTTGACAGATTGAATTCAGAGTTGCGTTATGCTAATTTCGGAAGTATTTTGATTGATATGGGAGTACTATACACAAAAAAACAGGATTCGGTGAGGGGCCAGTGACTCAGGCCACGAACTATGATATCGAATGCGGAAAAAGTCATGTAATCCCCCCATTTCTGGCATTTCTGCATGTTTCGAGTGGTGTCCGCGGGCATTTTGTGCTAGAAGTGGGCGGTTGCCAGGGAGCAGCCACCGCAACTGCAACTTGCAGCCGAAACAGTCGGTGGCCAAGTGAATGTGTCAGCGGGTCCATTTTCCCCATAAACCCAGCCTAAACTGCGCCGGCCAAAGTCTAATCTGTGGTAGCAGACATCAGACATTCGCTGGCCACCACCCGCTGTCGTCAGCTGTGGCTCACATTGTGTACACAATATTACAAGAAAACGCCAGCGGCGTTTCAGACACTGAAACAAAACTAAGACAACGAATTAACCAAAATGATATCTGTCAACTTTTCGTAGATTAAAACTGCATAACTAACATAAGTTTTACTTTGAATAAATTAGTGATTTATTGAAATAAAGATAAAAGTTTTATGAAACTTCCTGTTCTTATCATTTATTCAAACTTTAAAAAATATATATTCTTCTAAAAAACAGTCGGAAAACTTTTAAGGTTCAATTTGACCTTACAGTTTTTTATCAACATAAAAATAACAATTTTTCAGAGCTAAAACAAAGTATACTCCCTTCTAAATCTGTTTTTGAATTATTACTCCATTTTCCTTAGTGTATTTATCAAGCTATCGATCTTCTAGTCAAGTACAGCCCACATTAGGGCCGTGCTCAATGCCACAAGTTGGGGCAGAATCAGAATTAAACTCGAATTCAAATTGAAGTCGATCCAAATTGCAGCTATCAACTTGGGCTGTGGCACAATAACACACATTTATTAATTACATGGCTGAGACACAAACCGAAAACAGATTTGTGTGGGAAATTAACCCATGTTGGCCTTAGAATATTAAGGAATTAGTCAAAGCAATAAACCAGACTGTTTATTTGATGAATACTCGTCAGCCTAGGATGTGCCTCGGTGGGTTAATAATGGTTTAAAAATCGAAAGAAAATCCGAGTTTGAATGTACTTGCACTCCGCTAACCCCTCCCTGCCCCTCTGTGCAAAATTTGCAAATTGCCGTCGTCATCGCCATTGAATGGCCAAAAGACAGAGTCTGAGTTTGAGTTTAAACCACAAACAGAGACTCAAAACAGAGGCATTTCAATAGCCAGTTGCACATGAACACTCACAAAAATGGCAGTAATTAACAATAAAAGCATTCTTAATTCGACAAGAAAAGGTTTTTTCTGAATATATTAAAAAACAAGAAAGGAAAGCTAACTTCGGGCGGAGCCGAAGTTGATATACCCTTGCAGAATACTCTGAAAATTATATTCTCCAAAATTATTCATATGATGCATTCTTAATACTCATCAAAAATCCCAACTTCCTAACTTTAAAAACACCAAAGTTATGGCATTTCCAATCGTTCAGTTATATGGCAGCTATAGGATAGGCCGATCCTTATGAAATTTAATAGGTAGGATTGATTGGCTAAAAATAAAACCCATAGAAAATCCCAACTTCCTAACTTAACAAACACCAAAGTTATGGCATTTCCGATCGTTCAGTTATATGGCAGCTATAAGATATATTCGGCCGATTCTCATGAAATCCGGTAGGTCAGATTGATTGGCCAAAAATAAAACCTATAGAAAATCTCAACTTCTTAACTTTACAAACACCAAAGTTATGGCATTTCCGATCGTTCAGTTATATGACAGCTATAGGATATAGTCGTCCGATCCCGGCCGTTCCGACTTATATACTGCGTGCAAAGGAAAGAAGGGTGTGTGCAAAGTTTCAGTTCGATATCTTTAAAACTGAGAGACTAGTTCGCGTAGAAACAGACAGACGGACAGACAGACGGACAGACAGACGGACAGACGGACAGACGGACATGGCTATATCAACTCAGGAGGTGATCCTGATCAAGAATATATATACTTTATGTCTCCTTCACTGCGTTGCACACTTTTGACCAAAATTATAATACCCTCTGCAAGGGTATAAAAAGTATTTTGTTATATAAAATAGACAATCTTGAGTTTAAAGCTAGAAATTTGTTCTCGTTTTCACTACATTGATTCTTATAGATACAATAAATGGAAACATTTTCTAAAGTTGTTTCTCTTTTCTACCTAGAGCTTTTTTAATCTCTGTCAACTTTCGGTATTTGATTGCGATATTTTTCTAAGTATAGTAGGTAACCGACTGCAGTTAAATCGCGTGCAATTATTTAGTTTACTCGGCTTCAGTTTGCTTTACTCCACTCCACATTACTCACAATCAAGTCGGTCTGTCTAATGAGCAGTCAATAAAGTGCAGGCCAGACACAAAAGCGAGAGTGTGGTAAAAATTAATTCCAAATGCATTCGCCAACCAACAGCGCATTATGGATGATTTGGGCCAATAAAACCGAAGTCGGCAAACAAATGGAGTGCGATCGCACCATTAAACCATTTTTCAAAAAGCATTAGCCAAGTTAATTGAGCACCCCGCTTGCAAACGCATTTGGCAACTGCATTTTTGTGCCTGGGAATTGGTGCCCATAAAGATGAAGTCGCAATTGGACTGAAAAGTTTATTTCGGGGTTAGCTTGGTGCCATATGAATCAATTTCGTTTGATTGTTAAATCAAAATCGTGTGGATGGAAAATGAAACTTTCCAAGTTGAAGATCAAAGAAAATTGATTGATTACTTTCGGTTGTGATGAAATGGTAATGAATTCATCAGAGCTTAAGACACCTTTATTGATTTTAAGTCAGTTTTTAATTGTATAATTTTTCCTGATTTAATTAAACATGTTTTAGAACCCAAAATTCAAATAACAATTATATAAATACTTCACTTTACAAAAAATAAAAAGCAACAACAAAATAATTGTACTTTATTCACTTTCTAAAAGACCGACTAAACAATTTGAGAATTACATTCCTGAAAACAAAAGTTAAATCGCATTTGGAAGTGCTTTGAATGGAGCGTAAACTAGTTTAATTTGGTGGCTTAAATGGCCAAACGAAGCCTTGAACTTAAGCGTTACTCTGGCCAAGAGCTCGGCTATTTCCCTGGAATTTGTTGAGCACCTGGCCATAAATAAGTAAATAACGAAGGCAATCAGCGCCTTAATGTGACACTTACCAGCAGCAGAAAACCGAATTTGAGGAGCCAGCAAAAGTGTGCCATTCCGTTGCCGCTTTTAAGTCCACCTGTCCACCAGTTAATCAAGCGCTTTAATGCTTCTTTTGTTCTCAATGCTTAATGGGGATCGCTTTCCTCGGGCTAGTCAGTGATTCATTTGGTCACTTTTGACCACCAGCTGCTCTGCGATCATTCTGGCCACAGCCTTTCGGGATTTGGTTAATGGCTGCAATTAGGAAAGACAAGAAGCTGTGATTAGAGTATAAAAAAGTGGATGTGTTTCCAAGAATGTCAGAGTTATTTCTCACTCCGACTCCCATTATAAATATTTGTCAAACATTTAACAAATCGCGAGTTGGAAACAAATTCATTGCGTTCAATCGATAAGCCATGGGAAAAATCCACGCCAAATGTCAAGGTGCATTTCACACCAGAAATCGCAGAGAGTCTGCGGCACTTGCAGCTAATTTAAGAGTCTCGGCGGATTCCGCAGTTAACTGAATACACTCAACAAAAATGTATGGTTTGTTTGTACCATATACAAATTATTTTAAATTTTAATAACAGTTTAAACTCAATAATATCTTTAACTGTATTAAAAAACCTATAAAACTCTAAAAAAAAGCTTAGATTGTTACAAAATACCTCCAAAAGATTGAAATAAGTTATGAGTTAATAAAACTGAAACTAAAATTACTTAAAGAAATAATATAAGTTTTTTTAGAAGACACTTATTTAATTGAATGGGTCAGAAGACTTGATATATGGTTCTATAAGTTGGTGAACTTCTTCTGCCTTTTGTGGTTGATTTACCAAGCTCAAAAACGATTAAGGGCTTGGGTTTTTTTTGGGTGTAGAAGAATCATTGAACTTGTTATTGGCAACAGGTTGGCAACAGCAACTAACAACCAGCAACTTCAAGAAGCGGCCAACAAGTTGCAGAGTCTGGCCACAAAGAGTCGAGAGCTAAAAGCCAAGCCCAAAACTCAGACAGATGCTCAGTCGTCTGTTGCAATTTCAACATATTTATAATTATTGGCAAGGTATTTTGATAGCTTTTTGTTGCCAGCAATTGGCATGCCATTGAAGTGGGTACAAAGATTTAGCCGAAGTTGCTGCAATCGATGGCTGAATATCCACGGTGATGAGTTTGATTTGGCTAGCCATAATTTAATTAACCATTCTCAGGCATTTCCGCCACTCGGAGACCATGTAATTAAACCCGAGCCAAAGTCAAATCCATAAAGCAAACCAGGCAAAAAATCATATTTCTTTCAGCCACAAGATACAAAAGCTAGACAAAAGCCGAAAGAAAGAAAGAGACGCAGCCGAAACCAGTTCTAATTCTTATCAAGCCTTCTTCACAGGCCATATAATTACTCATGGCCTGCCATCCCCTCTCTAGATATTTTTTACCAGATTACCAGACAGCGTTCAATGGACAGCATTTAATTACCAAGGAATTCTACGGGGAAAACAAATATGTTTATGGCTAGCCAGGCATCTCATTAAAAACGAAAGTTTCGTTCTTGGCCAAGCGAGGGGTCATTAATTAGCCAAAACTTGGAGCAAGTCATATGGAAATGCCAGAACCTCCCATTCGAGCCGGCATCCATTATATTTAATTCTATTCTTCTCTGCTCTGAGCTTTATTCAGCTTCTCCCTTTTGACTGACGTCATTTTAATTTCTTTTATTCTCTTTTCTAGTGTCTTGTTGGCAGATGTTCATCATTAAGTTCTTTTGTAAGTTCCTTGGCCTTTAGTATATTTTGTAAAGCCCCTAAGAAAGTAAAAGTTCTGAAGTCCAACGTTTTGTCCACACATTTATTATCCGCAATTTAGCGTCTCTATATATAATAAAACTAGTCTACAACTACAAAGCTGCACCCATTATTGTCATAGGAATTAAAATCGTAATATGTTCTAGTTCTAGCTTTACTTGGGAGCAGGTATCTCGGACGAACACTTGGGTTAAGGCCAAAAACAACTGCTTTGATAATTTAGAGAGGTGTCAATCGTAGAATACTCTTTTCGCTTTTTATTTAGAAAATATCATTATATAACCGCAATTAATTATTTTCTTGGAAACAATATTTTTCTCAGAGAAACAAGTTTTGCGGTTTGGAAACTTGTTGTTGATCATTTGGAAGATCTTTAAATTAAAACAAGAAAGGAAAGCTAACTTCGGGCGGAGCCGAAGTTGATATACCCTTGCAGAATACTCTGTAAATTATATTCTCCAAAATTATTCATATGATGCATTCTTAATACTCATAAAAAATCCGAACTTCCTAACTTTAACAACAACAAAGTTATGGCATTTCCAATCGTTCAGTTATATGGCAGCTATAGGATATAGTCGGCCGATCCTTATGAAATTTGATAGGTCGGATTGATTGGCCAAAAATAAAATCCATAGAAAATCCCAACTTCCTAACTTTACAAACACCAAAGTTATGGCATTTCGATCAATCAGTTATATGGCAGCTATAGGATATAGTCGGCCGATCCTTATGAAATTTGGTAGGTCGGATTGATTGGCCAAAAATAAAATCCATAGAAAATCCCAACTTCCTAACTTAACAAACACCAAAGTTATGGCATTTCCGATCATTCAGTTATATGGCAGCTATAGGATATAGTCGGCCGATCCTTATGAAATTTGGTGGGTCGGATTGATTGGCCAAATATAAAACCCATAGAAAATCCCAACTTTCTAACTTTACAAACACGAAAGTTATGGCATTTCCGATCAATCAGTTATATGGCAGCTATAGGATATAGTCGGCCGATCCCGGCCGTTCCGACTTATATACTGCGTGCAAAGGAAAGAAGGGTGTGTGCAAAGTTTCAATCCGATAGCTTTAAAACTGAGAGACTAGTTTGCGTAGAAACAGACAGACGGACAGACGGACAGACGGACAGACGGACATGGCTATATCAACTCAGGAGGTGATCCTGATCAAGAATATATATACTTTATAGGGTCGGAGATGTCTCCTTCACTGCGTTGCACACTTTTGACCAAAATTATAATACCCTCTGCAAGGGTATAAAAAACTAATGATGGGCCCATCATCATAGGCAGTCTTAAGAAGATGAAATGACATTGGAAATAATGAGTATAGAAATGTGGTTGAGGTCCTATTTTTGGTTTACTACATTAGAAACTTTGTGAACAAATAATCAATGAAACTTAATAAATTTCCCAGTTGACAAAGTAGTAAAACGTTTATAAAATGTATACAAATATGTTTGAAAAAAAACACAACTTAAAATTAATTTATTCAAAATTATTACTGGATCCCTATATTATCCAATAAATTATTCTTGTTCTAGAACATGTTCAAGATCATCTAGCAATTATAGATCTCCCTTCTTTGGTAGTGCAGCAACCGCAACTTGGTCTTGAAATCGCAATGGAATAATCACACTCGCACTCGCACTCCAACTCGTGAATGCCCATTGGCGTTACTAAATTTGTGCCGCTCTCACACTCTTGGGCAGTTAGTATATAAATTAGAATGCTAATCGATAGTTATGGATACGCCCTGAAAAAAAACGGCTAGGGAACTGGCAGATCGGTGAGGTGAGAACGGTGGACAATGGCCACTGACAGATTCCGGTTAATAAACTTGATTTAAAACCAGAAGTGAACACTGCGGGCAAAAGGTAATGGCAAATAAATTGCCACTAAGTACACACACAATGCATGGTCGTACAAATGACACAAAACAAACAAAAAGGCGAAATAAAATGTGTAACAAATGGACAAACGTGGCCCGCACCCGCAATTCACTCAGATTCAGATTCCGATTTAGATTCAGATTCAGACTCAGACGGGGACGAGACAAGTGTTGGACCCTGTGACAAATTGTCAAACATTCGCATTCTCATACCACCTCTCAGAAATGTCGCGCGACGATTGCAATTCATTAACAATCGAAGTGGAGTTGATTTGAGTTCAGTTGAGTTGAGTTGAGGGACGGACAGGCTCAAAGCCAAAAAGGCAAACGAAGGGAGAGGCCACACGTCGTATGCGTTATGTTATCAACAGCCAAATAAAGGTTTAGAAAAAGGAATCCAGCAGAGGTATACCCTCACTAGAAAATTCTTTGTATTCGACAACATAATATTATAAAAATGAAGGCTCAGATTTTCGATATTTTTATTCCTAACACCATTCGTTCATAATTTCAAAAAGGTTTACAGGAGTTCCACTGTTGTTCTTATTAGAAATTTTCATAAAATTGATTACTGTAATATTTTGCGAAATAAGAAATAAAATAATATTTTTTATCAAATTTTTCTTGAGTCATGAAAAAAAGGTGTGTCAAAGACTGTTCTGATTGCGAAAATAAAATCATTTTTTAACGACCCATGCAGTCGTTAAGTTCCCGAATTATCTTAAGATATAAAAGAGAAGGATAACTTTTAAGACTTGCCTTACAATTATGTCAAGGCAATTATTCACAAGTCTCTTTACGAAGAAGTTAAAAAAAGAGATTAGAATTTGGAAGGTACTCCAAAATGATAAACAAAATGAAACCATTTAATAAATATCGCTTCTATTCTTCAGAGTTATTTTTTAGCGAACCTTGTTGTCTTGTTTGCATACACAAATAAAACTACCCTCTTCAAGGGTATAAAAAAGCAATCACAAAGTCAATGCAAAAGCCAAAACTCTGCCAAAGTCGCAAAAGACATTCAAGTGAGCTCTAATTGGAGCGTTTTCTGTTTGTGTTTATATTTCCATGGAATTTCTAAGAGTTTATTGCACTCCCCGCTCTTTGGCCAGTTGGACATTTGTCATCGCATTGTTGCGGCCAAAACGGAGTCTCTGGCTAAAATAGTGCAATTCCAACCAGTTTGTTTATCTTTCGCAGGTCGCGCGACTTTGGGGCGTTTTGTCAGCGTTTTTGCCGCTGGTTTCGTTATTTTTTTTTACGCCAGCATATAATTTGTTAATTTAACTTTTTGCAGCCTTTAATTGTTTTGGCCAAAGCTCAGCGAATGCTACTGCAGGCAGTTTTGCGGTGCAATTACGCTTTTAATAATAATTTTGTTTAAAAAATGTTGAACGGTTTGGCAACGCTTCCAGTTGCTGCTCACTTTTGCAATCTGGCTTAGAATGTGGGGGCCATTAGATTATAGACATTATCGATATGACTCTTTGATTGATTAAGGGTCGAGCTAAGGCTACGAAAATTTAACGTAATGACAGAAGTATTTATTTAATGGCGAGTTGCAATTACTTCGTTGAAGTATTGCAAATAAAACATAGGAAAACTTGTAGACTATTGATTGAGTCATTAAATGGTCTACTGGAACAATATATTTAAATAATTATATTTAGGAGCCGTTATTATAGGTTTAAATAAAGAACTACTAAATATAGAATATTATTATGTAATTAAATATTTTTAGATACAATTTTAAGAATCCAGCTTGAAAAAATTGATCAAGTATTGATGAAATCATTAAATGGACTTTATGAATTCGTTTTTCCAAGAATGACGGTGAATTACATTAAAGATCCGGCTTTTATTATCTTCAGCTATTTTTATCATTAATAATAAAATTGATTTATGTATTACTATCAAGACACCAATCCTTAATTGAAGGAAATAGTTTTTTTTATTTATATATGTAAGTAAACAACTTAACGAGATATGGAACTAACTTTCAATTACCATTATAATAAAATTGGGTGATTTATTACATTAAGTGCCCATAAAATTAAACACGATTAGCTTTTTTATTCATGCAGCGTTTAGTTGAGTTACTTATCCAAACAAGTCATTAATCGAATGTGATCTATATTAAAACAATTTGATTAACGGACGTGTTCTGGACCCCAATTATGTTTCTATTAATTGAATTTAAATTATGAACTTTCAGTACTAAACCTATTGAAAACAAGATTGTAAAGTATGCTGCTAAATTGCTGCCATAAATTTTCCTGCCCAAGAAACAATCCATTGCACACAATTACTGCCCTTGGATGGATATTGAAGCTTTTCCTTGGCATTCAGCTGGCAGCGGACTTTCAATCTGACAAATCTGAAATTAATTCACTCCACGGCGATTTTATTTTTTTTTATTTCGGACTTTGGATTTGAATGCCAGCTGGGACAGTGGGTCAGTAAATCAACTCTCAATTACAAGCAACCGTTAATTATTACAGTAAGTTCGAAAAAAAGCAGGGCGTCTAAAAATAATGAGATATACCGGCCATTAAAGTCTCATTTGTCGATCGCGAAGAAGAGAGGTACACATCTCTCTGCGAAATAAATTAATGGTTTAATCCACGCCTGTCCATCAAAAATCGGGAATACAATCCGCACAAAAGAAACAAATACTTTTTCATTCAGTCATTCGGTTTCAAAACTCAAACACTAATGCACTTGCATGCCAATTGACTGACTCACACCGATACACTTTCATCCGTGACCTTGAGGCGCCTGCCCGACATATCCCCCAACCGGCCCCGCCCTCCGCCTTTCCGCTGGATTTCCACAATTGAAGCCAAATCCACTTTATGGCCAAAATGAAAACAAAAACAATAACAATGCCCGCACGTTGAGCAAGGCAGCCACAAAAAAAATATACCAAAAATGTAGATAAAAAACTGTAACAAAAATTAAAACACAGCAGCAAAAACTTTGAGTAACAAGCCGACTGCAAAACAAACGAAAACCGACCAAAAAAAATGCAAAAAGGGGGGAGGAAAATGCTAAAACATAAAAAACGCGTTTGCGCATAAAAACGCTTTGGTTTTGGCCAATTTTAGCCGTTTGACTACAAAGCGATCTATATATACACTTTGTGATTTTATTCCTGCACAGTCAGAATTTTTTATGATCAACAAAATCGAGATATAAACAAAGATATCGAAATTTTATACATTTTGAAAAAGTTATTGTCATTAACTTTTTTACTGGAATAATTAAAATAATGATATTAATTATAAAAGTATTAATAAATAAAATTTTCTAAAACGATCACATCAAAATGTTATTTAGTGAAAATAAAGTTAATAAGTCTGTTATTTATACATTTTAAAATATTTGTTATTTTAAAATATTTTTTAGCGTTATTTCACCAAGCAAAATTTAAGCTTGAAATATATTTTTTAGAATACAAATTTGGAAATAACAATTTCCAAATGATCTTAACATTTTTTCGCTGTGTGGCATATTATTAACCGTTACTTTTTTTACCAAACCCGCTGAGCTTACCAATAATGCACCCACCACATTTATAGTTGTTACTGGCTTTTAATCCCTCGTTGTCGTTGTTGTTGGATTTGATTGTTAAGCTTTCTATATTTACGTGTTGTTGTTGTTGTTTCAGTTTCAGTTTTTGTGTTCAACTGTTCAATGCAATTGTTGCTAAGCCGTTTTCTTAAATTGGAGCAATATTGGCGCGCGAGCTTTGAACGGATTTCGTAGACTGCGATTTGTTTATGGCTCTTTCAAAAGTTTTTTTTTTCGCGAATTAAAAATATTTTGTTTTTATTTGGGCTTAATTATTTTTAATGGATTAGCGCACACACTGGAATAAACACACTGGCACACACACTCACACGGATACACACTCTGAAAACACTTTATTTAACTGACTTGGTCGAAAGTGGTCTTTGATATATATCCTTGATTTTTGGAACGGTCCTTAAATCGGTTTTCAGCTGTGTTGCTCGTGGTTTTGACTTAAAAAGGCTCTCTTTTGTGGATAAAAACCAGAGGGGAGAAGGGTGGGGCCACTGCAGTGAGACTGCCTAACTGAAAAAGATACTTTCACGACCAGAAACACGTAGTGTTTTTATTTAGGAAAAACCTTTTGAAAGTCTCTCGAGCGCCGCGCTTGCGTCCGTTTGGCTACAGCGTCCACAATTAACTGAATTCCCACAGCGATCAGAAACTGATAAGTCGCCCAAGAAGCCAGGCTGAAAAGCTCGGAGAGCGGCCAACTCGACTTGGCTCAAACCGTAAGACACAAGACTCGGCCACATTCACAGAACGCAGCCAAGTGCCAAGGCAAAAACACGAAAGGCAAAAAGCAAAAAAGCCCAAGTACAGCGGACAGGCAACTCGATTTGCAGAACAAACGGCAAACACAGCTGCCAACAAACAATAATCAGCCAGCAAACAAATCGCGCCCGAAAGTCGTTCTCTCGTGCTAACTTTACGCTCGCCAAGATTTCGCACATTTTGATGGCTTGTTTTGAGAGAAGCCAAGCTTAAATCATGACTTTTGGTAATATTAATCTGCCTTCTAGTTGTTTTTTGCTATAGTCACATTATGAGGCTTACAAGGTGTTGTATACTCTTAGGCTTTTTTCATGCCGCATTCGCCTACAAACCTCTGATCTCAAAATATGCCTATCATATCCAGATTATCAGATTATCACAACAACCAACACATTAACCAATACATTCATTCATGTCTTTTGAATTTTGTATAATTAATTTGTTTTGTAAAGTTTTTTTTGTAATGGTCTTGTATTAATTTAGTGAGCGTCACATATATCTATAATTACATTTCCATTTTTATCCGCTTTTTGTATAATTTACAACCTTAACAATCAGGATTGTGTGTTCAATTGTAAAGTCCTCCAGGATGTAGTCATCGCTGGGAGATCCTGGCTCAGCAGCAGGATTAAGGCATCGTTTGCTCATGTAGCTTTAACAAATCGTTTATTTCTTTGACATTAGTGGAGACATAAACCAACAAGACTAACATGTAAAATCAGTGATAGCTTTTAAGCCATTGTCTAAATAGATATCATATTATAAATCAACTAATGCAAACCATTATAAAATTAAACTGCACGTACATTTGGAAGTTTGTTTGATTTAATTAAGTATATGCAGATATCAGAAGTAAAACATTTAGCCACACCTAATGTTAGTTAAGTTTCAAGACCACAAACAAATAATGAAATAAACCAAGGCTTACTAGTCCACCCTTCGCTTTTTAATAGTCAAACTAGATTTACCACTTGTTTTACTAATTATGAAATGTTTATTTTATATCCCATATTAATTTACAATAATATTTACATTTTAAGCGGTACAAAATGCGATATTTCCAAGTAAACCACAACAGTATTTGCTAACAATCGGGAATGGCGGGGTCGCTAGCTACGCAGATTGATTTGATTAAACTACAAATAGCTGGTTGGTTATGCAGAGGGTTATCACAAAAGAAAAAGGAATATTCTGTACAGGCGGGTCTGGGTTACAAATCTCTAGCAGATTACAATTTATCTTGATCTTTCGATCTGATGGCGAGACCCTCAGATCAATTAAAACATCCAATTGTCGAATTTCCCACGACGCGTTTGCTTGCTGTTTTAAAAAAGAGATTGTATCAAAGGGGTTAGTATATTATCCGAGATTAGATATGTGAATTCTCTATCGCTATCTATCTATATCAGTCATTTAGAAAAATAATGAAAACAGAATCACATCGAAATAAGAAAATAAAAAACATTCAGAAAACATTGAAGTATTTATTTGCATTATTTATTGGTATTGCTTAAGTTTTAGGCATCATCAACTCCATCGAACTTTGTATATTTTTTTCTCTCTCATTTAGTATAGTTTATAGTACAGTTTACTCATAACTTTAATACATCTTTAAAAAATAATCATAAATCGTATAAACAAAACAAATCGCAATCGAAAGCAGCTAAAAGAACTGACACATTGTCGCTATCTCTTTAGCTTTTCGGAATGTACGAGTGTATAAAAAATACTTATTGAAATTATCAGATATACAGGGGGGGATACAAAGTAATTAGCGAAAAACAAAACGGTTTTGGCATGCAAAAACGGTTGCTCGCTAGCAAGTTGGATAGATCATTCTGGTATATATAAGTACAGAACACAGAGTACAGATATTTGGGATTGTCTTGGGTTCGGTCTACTCTACTACGTTCTACGTTTTTTAGGCCTGGGAATTGTAGAGTTCAGCACACGCTAAAAATCAAGGACTCATAAGCTAGCTAAAAGGCGATCTTAACTACGCTCAAACTTGCGTCACGCACTGCGCGTATTTGTCCAGTTCGCTCCGTAAAATCTTGACGCGTTCGGCTTCGGATTTCAGGGCATTTACCAGCTCCTCGATGGTTCGCTGTTGGTTTAGCACCAGTCCTTCCAGCTTATCCACCCTCTGCTCCAGTTGGTTAACGCGTGAGGAACTGGCATCCTGGTGGTTATTCAGCTGATTGGTTGGCTTCTCCTCTTGGGACTGCGCACTGCTGGCATTGGAGCTCTTGACCAGAGGTGAAACACTTCGTTGATTGCGAATGGCCAGACTATTTGGCCTTGTGGCTCTCGTCTCCTCATCGCTGCTGGCTGCTGTGGCCTTGGCAGCTGTCAAGCTGCGGGACATGATGGCATCGTTGGTAGTGGTACTGGTGCTACTGGTGGTCACCGAACTGCTGGTCGAATTCTCCACAAACATGGAGGATGTCACCGCTGAAGATTGCACTTTCGTTGTGGTACTGCTGCTACTACTACTGATCGCTTGCTCGGCGGCAAAGAGTTTGGAGGTCCTCTCGGCCACAGAAGCTCCTCGGGGCTCCACACTGGGTGTCTTTTTTCGGGTAACCTGCGAGGCCTTTAGCTCCTCCATCCAGGGCGCCTTTTTCTTCTCCCACTCGCGTGGTTTTGGTTTGGCCAACTGTGGTTCTTCACCCGTAGAGTTATCATCAGAGGAGGCTGTGGCTGCCGTGCCTTTTCCCCCAGCTCCACCATCTTCACTCAGCTCGCTGGCACTTCCCGCTCCTCCAGATCCTCCACCCATTCCGCTGCCATTTACGTATACGGAATTATTATTGCTTTCACCCAGGACATTTATAGCCGCCGACGGAGGACGTCTCTTCGGAGCCTTCACCCTTCCTTGTCGCATATCCGTGAGAATCGATGCCCGCTCAACGCGATCGAAATCCGTATCCTCCACGGCGATGGTGGCTGCCCTCCGAATCACAAGGTTACCGGGTGCTCCAGATTCTGGCAGTTGATTAGCACCTGAAAGCATCTTACTGGCCGTTAGTCCATCCGCCAGGTCATGTGAAACCGCAGTGGTGAGTTTGCCCTCTGGATTCTTTTTCTTGCCACTCAGGAGGTTACCTACGGCTAAAAAGTACAAGATTAGCATGGTTTGTAGACTTCCAGGTGCCCGTGATGCATCGCTATTGAATCGAATTTTTAAATTACGTTCCCTTATAACACTCCGTTTAATGTATAGCTAAAATACTAATCTACCTCCTATCGGATTTATAATCTTAATTTTTTGAACTGAAAATATTTCTTTAAGCTTTGAATTGCAACATTTTTTGTATACGTTGAAAGGCCATGCCTGCATTGCGTTTCAATCGATAAGATACGTGGCAGAGCTATGTATTTTATACTCAAAATTACTCAAAACAATGAACCGGGAATACTGACAAGTCAATGAAGCTATTATAAAGATTAAATGCGTTCTTTAACATGTATCGGTATTCTTATCATTGTTTTTTTATAAAGGATATCCTCTTTTTAATCACCATTATTGGTTGTGATTAATGGGTGTATGAGCCATTTTCTGTTTACACTTTCTATAACATTATTCACGTTGAAGAAATTAATATGTATGAAAAATACACTCAATATTTGATAAATATATTAATAAAAGCATTATTAACTTCCATCTGGTATACATTTTTACCACTAAAATCCTAATAATATAAAATATAAATAACTTTTTCCTCGAGTCTTTAGCTATGCATGGTCAGGCTCTACAGTACAGTACTCACCAGTCACGGGCACTCCTCCCGTGGGAGTTTTCTTGAGCGGCACACTCGGTTTCTTGCTAAGCACCGGTGGCGGTGGCGATTTCACCTTCTCGTCCATGCTCTCCGTGGACTTGCTAACTGACGAGGAAGTCAGTCCTGTGGAAATTGTGGTGGCTGACGAGGTGGTGGCACTGGAGGTGCTGCTCCTCTGCTGATTGATGGCCACAGCGGCTCCCACGCCTGGCGGCTTGGTCAGATCCAGGTTCTTGTTCTCCAGGGATTTCCTCTGGGCAGCCACATTTCCGGTGGGCAGACCCGTTTCACTTAGAATGTCGTTCAAGGAATCACGGGATCCGAAGCTCTCCTTGCGACCCGCCGAAGAAGAAGCTGTGGTGGTGCTGCTGGAGGTGCTGTTGCTGCTGCTGCCGGTCTTCTTGATGTACACCTTCGAGGTGGTGGATCCGATCTGCTCCTTCTGCTGCTGCGTGGTCACCGAAGTGGTGCTGGAATTGCTAGAGTTCGTTGTGGTCATGTGGCTGGTGGTGCTGGCAGTGTTGCTGATCTTCCTCTGCGGCTGAGCAGTGGATGATGGCTCGTTGATCGGGGCAACTGGAAAATCGGTAAATACAGTCGGAGATTAGAGACACAATAAGCACCTGCAAAGTGACATGCAAACATTCAGCTTTATTTACTAACAGGAGATATCGGTTAAAAGGCACGATGTCATAATACAAATTATTTAGGTAGCTTCTTAAAAACAGTCTTTCGCAAAGATCTTAATAAAAATAATATATGGATTTCATAATTTTAAAAACCCCTAATTTTGTTTTGAAGCCTGTTTATGGCCATCCATTTTTAAGAAAAACTAATTGGTTAACGGTTAAGGTATTTTCTCGAGTGTAAAATATAATAATGACCATAGTGTATATATACAAAAAATATGTATACTTTAGTATTGGCTAATATATTCACATTTTTTTTTAACAATACTTGTATTTTGTTATAAATGTTCAAACTTGTTGTTTCTATATTTATTAATTTTTTATATCTGTTAACCGATATCCACTGCAATACAGTAATTCGCATCCAA